TGGACTTTCTTCTGATTGGTTGGTGGTGAGGTAACAGGGTGATTTTTCGGGATTCTTAATCATTAACCTTCTGGTTCCAACCAGTCTGGGGTCTGCCTTCTGGTTAGCATGTAGTCACCATCCTCCACTGGGTGTGGGGGGGGGGTCTTAGTTTCCGCAGAAAAACTCAAAGATATGCTTCAGATTGTTATGTATATCCCTTGAGGAGGAACTAGTATTCTATTTTACCGCTGAAATATTGTTTAAGCTATCATTACTTTTCTTGCCTAACTGCTTTTCCTTTGTTTCTGCATTCCCTCACTTCCCTAATTTGTAACTGTTTGAGTCTGCTTTTTGGAACCAGAGAAGGCCTAGGAGACTAAAGCCTTTTTCTACAAACAAGAAATGGGGGACATGGAAGGGCTTTTGTAACTGGGAGGGCCCCACAGGGTCCTGCTTGGTCTCAATCCCCCCTTTTCTTTGATACTTCTCAATCCTAAAGGGAGCAGGGGTGGGACAAGAAAGGGAATAAAGTTTTGGATAGAGAGGTTAATCATAAACTCATCAGGGGAACTTGGTCTTAGGGGGACTTGGTTTCAGAAACTCCTTGAGGGTAAATCATGATGTGTTTATGAAAATATGAAAAAAATAAGACTTGGAACTCTAGCTGTCCTATCCACAAAAAGCCCTCAATGAAACAAAAAAGTCTATCTTGACCTTAAATCAAACATGTATTCATTTGTATGTTTTAAGTTAGATAAAATATTAAGGTTATGTGTGTATGTATTTTAAAAATCATCTTATTGACCAATTTTTAAAGAGTTAACTCACCAACTACTGGGTCTTATCAGATAAGAGGGCTTTTATCTTACACTGATAAAATGAAATAGTATGCAATAGTATGCAATCTTTAAACATTCTGTTTGGAATTATACATAATCTCATATAGAGGTGCTCATCATATATGGTTAAATGAGAGAGGAGACTATAGAATAGAATGGGTAGTACCATTCCATTTTTGTAAAAACATGTTTAGAACAAAGAAGAATATATGGCAAATGTAAATGGTGGGTAGTGGAATTACGGCTGATTTTATGCTCTTTACTTCTTAATTTTTATAATTGTACTATCATTTTGTTTTACTTTCATAATAAAAATTAATAAATTAATAAATATCATAAAATTAATAAAAGTCATTTCTTAAAGAAAAAATTAATGTGTGTTTTCCTAATTTATAAGTATAAATGAGACTAAGTCTTTGCTCTAAGGGATACGGACTCTTTGAACTTGGATGTTTTGGGTATTAACTAATTCTTTAATATTCTAGGAAATAGTGCTGAATAGTTTAACAGTTATATTCCTTATCCTATGAAAAGCATCTTTGAGTAGGAAAGAACTGCTGTTCCAGAATTTTCTTAAAGCACTCCTTGAGTACACTGCTTTCCAAAAAATTTATACACTGCCTGAAGATATGGTCTAAATCTTTAGTCTGCTTTTAAATCCTATCATGTCAAAACTCAGTCTACTTTTCTTGCTTTAGTGCCCCTTAAATTCTTAAATGAAAACTTAGCTCCAGATGAATTTGTCAACTCACTATCTCCAAAAGTATTTTGTGCTTTCTTGCTTTTATACTTTGCTTCTTTGTTACTTGGAATAGCTTTTCCTGACAGTTGTGTAAACAAATTCTACCCAGTTTCCAATGTCCAGTTAAAAAAAACATATCCACCGTGACATCCCTGGTTCCTCCAGCTAAAACTGAATTTTGCAGCTAACCCTATTTGCACTTATTATTTGTGCCTAGGCATTTCTCAAATACCACCTGATATTTTTGCATTTATTTCCCAATTCCATCTAAACTTCTTGAGAGCAAGAAAGCTTGTCTTACATTTCTCTCTATCCCTTGACACTCCTAGCATAGAACCCTGCACAGGGTAGGTGCTAAATGTTTATTCCTTGATCATAACAGTGGTGTCAAGTGTTGAGTCCATGTGCTGAAATTTCTTGTTAACCAGTTAACCTGGGTAGGGGGGTTAACACTTTGCCCACGACAATGTGGAGGAATAAAAAATGGATAATTTGGCTTAATTGTCAATTGATATAGATAGGTGATAAGGAATTGACAGTGTTTTTTGTTAAAAATAACACAAAAGCTAAGAGTTGTGTAGGTAGTTCAGGACCCAAACTTAAGTTTCACATAAATATTTCTTTGAAAATTTCTCATGAAGCTCATTTTGGGTTTGATGGCCTCTTTGTTCTTACTCCTACCAGAGGCACAGCTGTGCCTCGCGTTCTTACAGCTACTGTTCCCAGAACCCAGAGATCTGAAGTTTTTGACGGTGGGTTATATGCACCCTCAGGGTTACTCTGTTCCAGAACATCTTAAGAGGTCATGTGGGATTCAGTGCGTCATAGTATGTAAAGTGCTTTGAGTTCAAAAGTTAGTAGTTTTTCTCCTATTACTGGAAACATAATAGTGTCAGTCTTCAAACTTAAATTGTGCCCAGGGTATTTAATTTATTTAATTTGGTTAATGGTAGACACTCATAGGGCTTATCATTTTTTGTTAAACAGTTTTATTTTAATTTATAGATGTTTGCCAGGACTAAATATAGCTGATGAAATATCTGACCTTTTCTGCTCAAGGTAAATGATTTGTTACTTTATAAAAATACCAGGTACCAATAGAATTCAGAGTTTGTATAAAAAGACCCATTTGGTCATGTAAAGTAATGTAATCCCGGGCCCCAAAGAAATGATCCCTTTAAGAATTTTGTTAGTACATGAAAAATGACGTATTATTGGTTCAACCTATATCAGAATCACCTTGGAACGTTTTAAATATGTGTAATATGCATGTGCCTGGCTTCCCACCAGGGGATTTTGATTCCATAAGTTTTTGGGGTTTTAGCATGTGAATGTTTCCAAATGCCAACAGGTGCTTTTGGTTTATTGTAGCTCTGTTTCATTGTGGCATGGCACTAGAGATGATGAAATGGCAGGTAATAATGCCATGGGAGTTAAAGTCCGTAAGGGTTAAAGATCAAAAAATATTTAAAGTATTTAAATTTTGTGTGTGTGTGTGTGTGATGTTAGACTCATACTTTCATTTTGCCTTTTATTCAATGAATGTTTTAATTATATTTTAAATAAATCACTAAAAAGTTTATTTAATGATTTTCAGAGTTCAGGTTTAAACTCTAGAGTTCTCTCAGCCTGAAAATTGCCACATCTATGAATACAACTTAAACTTTCTTTCATTTTGTTGCTTCAGGTTAATAAGTGACGTAAATTAATGGAAAAAAGGCCAAATTTTAAGTAAATAATTTCTTATATATTCTTTATTTCAGAAGCTGGTTTAATTGATTTATTTTCCCTATAAGTGAGAAGTCAGAAACTATCAAAGTTTCTCATAATAAAAAGTAATGGGTAAGTGAATGTTGTGATAGCATTTTGATTTAATGAAGCTTTTCTATTCTTATTGGTTTTAAGGCTGTGGTTTCAATTTTTGAACGTTGATTTTAATGAATAAACTTTTTCTGTTTCAGGATAATTTTATCAGAAACGCTCATAACATTATAGGATCATTCTCTTTATTTTTTTCGACAAATGAGTGTTTAAAATAATTAGAATTAAAACCTTGATGAAATTATCTCTTAAAATCCTATTTTCACTTTCACAAAACAGCAAACTCATTATATTCAATTTATTACTTAAATTTGTTATATTTTGTGTGTGTGAATAAATTGTGTGTGTATCATAATCACTCGGGAAATTAAAAAATTCTGAATTCTAAGCTCTATTCTCAGATTTACTAAATCAGAATTTGGGGGTATGATTTTTATATTCAGCCTGGTTTAGAAACCAGTATGTGATGCAGTATGTAATGATGAAGGATTATAGTTTTGGGGAGGAGGGTAGAAACTTGGAAACTTTTCTTTATTTGTAGAGAAATCTTATTGCACTAGTTGGAAAAAAATTCTTCATATTCGTTTGGTTTATGTAATTGTCAGAAGAGAAATGTCTTGTTTCAGAGGCTGTATTAGTTGCTATTTTGTTTTTTAGCAACTTTGTTGGATAAATTACTTTAAAATCTGCCTCTGTGGATTGAGCAGAAAATAAATGTAGTATCTTTACTCTCATGCTAGAGAATAAGATGTTATATATGACACTGAGAGTTCACATAATCTGGGATTTTGTGTAGAAACATAACGGGAACATTAATAAACTTTGTTAAAGTATAGTAACTATACTATAGTAACAAATTAGAAATAGTAATTTGTCTTTATAAATTGAGTACTGTATTCAATACTGAATCACTTTCTGATAACTCTTAACAACTTAGAAAATCAATAAAAAAATGTAGTCATCTAGGCTTCAAACACTGGCAACACACTACTCTTTTAGAAGATGCATAGGTCTCAGAGAAAGACAAATACTGTATGATATCATATATATCCACGTATATGTGGAATCTAAAAAATAAACTAGTGAATATAACAGAAAAGAAACAGACTCATAGATAAAGAGAACGAACTAATGGTTACCAGCGGGGAGAGGGAAGAGAAGAGGGGCAAGATAAGGGTAAGGAATTAAGAGGTACAAACTACTATGTATAAAACAGATAAGCTGCATGGATATATGGTACAACACAGGGAATATGGCCAATATTTTATAATAACTGTAAATGGAATATACCCTTTAAAAATTATGAATTGTACTGTGTTGAACACCTGAAACTTACATTGTGCCTCAACTATTCCTCAACTAAAAAAGAAAAGAAGATTCAGAGGTCTCATTTTATTCCAGGCTCATTGATTGGTTCAGTAGCTCATGGTAGCCTTGTCTGTTTTCACAACTATTAGAAATATGAGTGGGTAGCACCCAAGAATGAATTTCTGGTCTCTGATATTATCATAGCTATTTTCCTCATGGTAGTAAGGAATTACTGTGCTTTTGCCATTTTTGTTTTTTTCCAGTTTGAGTATTCAAGGACAATAGCCATCTGACTTTGGTTATTCAATATGCAGAACAGACAAGGATATTGCAGCTATTGCTGTGTGCACTATAATAACCTGGAACAGGTGAGACGATCCTATTACTATGGTTATACCACAAAGGACCTAGTCGTAACTTTCCCTTTCTTTTACGTTTAATTAAATTCATTTATTCCTTCATTGAACAGACTATATTGAGAATCTACTAATGGGCAGATACTGTTTAAGTTTCTAGGGATATGGCCATGAACAAAATCAGTTTCCTTTATTCATGAAGCTTATACTTTAGTGCAGTAAGACAGAAAGTAAGTAGTCATATAAGTTTAGTACATAGTATGTCAGTTTGTGATAAATGTTATGAGGAAAATAAAATAGGGAAGAGTGTGCAATTTTAGGTAGAGCGGCCAGGTAAGGTTAAGGAAGTGACATTTGAGTTGAGATTTGAATGAAATGCAGGGGCCAGGCTTGCTTATATCTGGGGGAAGAATTTCTGGGTAGAGGGACAGGAGAGCAAGGATAGAGACCCTGAGGCAGAAGAGTGGTTAGCATGCTAACTAAAAGCCAGGAAGCCGATGTGGCTGCAGTGGAAGTCAGGTGGGGGGTGGATGTTAAGTGACACTTGAAGAATTCAGAGCATTCGATTTTGTAAGTCATTGTAAGACCAGGTAAGGACTTTGAATTGTACGCTTTGATGCACAAAAGTTTAAAATTTTGCTATAGTTGAATTTGTCTTATCTTCTTTTGTTACTTGTGTTTTTGGTGTCATAAAAATTGCCTAAAAAAAAAAATTGCCTAATCCAAGTTCATGAAGATTAATGCCCTGTCTTTCAAAAATACGGCCACATTAGTGGTTAGAACTTCAACGTAAGAATTTGGCGGAGGTGGGAGGGGTGGACGCAGTGCAGTCTATAGCATTTACACTGTTTGAGTTTTGGATGTTAAACCAATTTTTCATTCCTGGGATAAATTCCACTTGGTCTTGGTGTATAATTCTTTTTATATGTTGCTGGATTTGGCTTGCTAGTATTTTGTTGCAGATTTTTGCATATATATCCATAAGGTATATTGTCTGTAGCTTTTTGTTTTTTTTTTTGGCCGTGTTGGGTCTTCATTGCTGCGTGTGGGCTTTCTCTAGTTGCGGCGAGCAGGGGCTACTCTTCCTTGCGGTGCACGGGCTTCTCATTGTGGTGGCTTATCTTGTTGCAGAGCACGGGCTCTAGGTGCTTGGGCTTCAGTAGTTGTGACATGCGGGCTCAGTAGTTGTGGCACGTGGGCTCAGTAGCTGTGGCCTGAGGGCTTAGTTCCTCTGCAGCATGTGGGATCTTCCTGGACCAGAGATTGAACCCGTGCCACCTGCATTGGCAGGCAGATTCTTAACCACTGTGCCACCAGGGAAGTCCTCATCTGTAGCTTTTTTTCCTTGTGATGTGTTTGGTTTTGGCATCAGGGTAGTACTGGCTTCATAGAATGAGTTGAGTAGTATTCCTTTCTCTTCTTTTTGTTGGAAGGGTTTGTGAAACATCAAGTATGGAGATTTTGAAATAAGTATTCATGGTAATAGTAGCTGCAGCTTTCTGACCAGGATTGTTAACTTCGAAGATTCTCAAGTTTTTCTTCAGCTGTGGAATTGTCTCATAGGTGAAGCAATCATATAATGAAGCTTCTGCTAGTGCTAAACTGTTTGATCTTTGATGGTATCTAAGACAAGTTTATAATATATAAAAATTATGCTGTTTAGTAGCATTTGTTTTGTTTAATGATCTAATAGTAAACACTTAAATTCATACTAGGAAGAGTTTTTATTATGGTGATTTCTACATCTCTGCCTTTTTAAAAAAGAAATAATTTTTAATGCTGGTTATAAACATGAGGAGGCAGATAATAAATCTCAAGTTCTCTTCAATATTTCTCTCATGATTGAGAAATTATATCATCACTTGAATGGAAAATTATTTGTTGAACTTTTGCTAGTGATAAAACATGTTTATGGGCTTCCCTCGTGGTGCAGTGGTTGAGAGTCCGCCTGCCGATGCAGGGGACACGGGTTCGTGCCCCGGTCCGGGAGGATCCCACATGCCGCGGAGCGGCTGGGCCCGTGACATGGCCATTGAGCCTGCACGTCCGGAGCCTGTGCTCCGCAACCGGAGAGGCCACAACAGTGAGAGGCCCACATACCGTAAAAAAAACAAGACAAAACATGTTTATGCTTTAACTACAAGTTCTATTCAATAAACATTCAGTATAATTTTTTTGCTTAAGGTTTAGAATAATAATTTTTAGACATTTGGATACTCCTGTACTAAACTGACATTTAAAAAGATTCTGTTGATGATAGCTGAGGTAATTTGTACTAACTATATAAAAGCTTGAAAAAAAATACACACACACACATATATGTATATATACTATTCAAAGCTTTGGTGAACTACTAAGGCAGTGAAGACATATGGGGCCCAGATCTAGCTGAACATTGATCAGAATATTCAACAGAAATAATGGAAGCCAAAGGAAAGAAAACAGCTGCCAACTTAGAATTCTATACTCAGTAAATAAGGTGAAATAAAATATTTTCAGGAAACAAAAATTAAGGGAATTTATCACCAGCAGACACTTCCTAAAGGAAGTACTAAGAAGAGTTTTTCAGGTAGAGGGAAAATGATTCCAGTTGGAAGCTCAGAGATACAGGAAGGAACGAAGAGCAATGGAAAGGTAAATAGGTGGGCAGTGTAAATGAATAATATCTTGTGAGATTAACAACAGTGGCATATAAATTGGAAGGGGAGTAAATTGAGCTAATACCTAAGGACCTTGCATTGTTCAAGAAGAGAGTGGGGACTTCCCTGGTGGTCCAGTGGTTAAGACTTGGCACTTCCAGTGCTTCCAAGGGAGGGGGTGCGGGTTTGATCCCTGGTCAGTAGAACAAAGATCCCACAAGATCCCACATGCCGTGTGGCATGGCCAAATAAAAAAAAAGAGAGAGAGAGTAAAAGTAACAAGTACTTTTGATCAGTCAGTGTTGCATGTTATAATGTTACCACTAATAGACTAGGAAAAAGTCTATATAAAATATAGATCTTTGTAGTCTATATAAAATTGGAATAATAAAAAGTAGTCCACAAGAAAATAAGAAAGCAGAGAAATAGGGACACTGTGTAGGCAAGAATAGAATAATAAAACAGATTTAAAAATAAAAACAAGAATTAACTACAAGTATATCAGTAATAAATTAAGTGAAAATAGACTTGATGCTTGAATTAAACTATATTCAGTATTTTATCAGAGGTCCTAGTCAGGGAAATAAAGAAAGAAAAAGAAAAGAAAATGATAAAGACTAGAGAAGAAGAAATAAAACTGTTACTATTTGTATACAGTGTGATTGTGCACAAAGAAAACCCTAAAGATATTTAGATGAACTATTAGAATTGATAAGTGATTTTTAAAAACCTTTGGGCCAACATAAAAATGAATTGTCTTCTTAGAGTAAATATATATATGTATAGCAATCACTTTGCTGTGCACAGAAAACTGACCTAACATTGTAAGTTAACTATACTTCAATAAAAAATAGTTAGAAAAAAATAAAAAAATTGTCTTTCTATATATAAACACCACATAGGAGATGAGATTTGAAGAAGATATTTACAACAGCATCAAAAATCATCAACTTTTAAGGAATATGTATAAAAAATACGTATAAGGTTTTTATACAGAAAACTATAAACATTGAGAGAAATTTAAGAAAAATTTAAAAATTAAATGCACACACATACACAAAAGAAAGTGAAAAGGCAAGCCACAGAGAGGAAGATGGTACAGATCTTCCTCAGCTTATGATGGGATTACATCCTGATTGTAATTTGAAAATATCTTAGGTTGTAAATGCATTTAACACACCTAACCTATTGAATATCATAGCTTACCTAGCCTACCCTAAAAGTACTCAGAACACTTCATCACCCTACAATTGGGCAAAATCATTTATGCAAAGCCTATTTTATAATAATTGAGTAGCTCATGTAATTTATTGAATACTATACAGAAAGTGAAAAACAGAATGTTATTTTCTTTCTTTTTTTTCTTTTTTGCGGTACGCGGGCCTCTCACTGTTGTGGCCTCTCCCGTTGCGGAGCACAGGCTCCGGACGCGCAGGCTCAGCGGCCATGGCTCACAAGCTCAGCCGCTCCGCAGCATGTGGGATCTTCCCGGACTGGGGCACTAACCCGTGTCCCCTGCATCGGCAGGCAGACTCTCAACCACCGCGCCACCAGGGAAGCCCCAGAATGGTTTTAAGTGTAGGGGTTGTTTACCCTCCTGATAGTGTTACTGATCTTCCTCTTCCTCTGAGTCCCCTCCCATGAGCACAGGTCCAACCTAATCGCTTGCTTTTCTTCCCTTCCTACCCATCCTATGTGTGTATCTTTCTTCCAGCCTTGGTTGTACAGGAGTCCTTTTACCCATTTCCAGTTAGTTTTCAGTGAGAATTGTTCCACATGTAGAATTTTTGATATGTTCATGAGGAGAAGTGAGCTCCACATCCTTTAATATTCTGCATTGATTTGAGCTCCCCTTATGGTTTTCAGATGCATATTTTAGAATTGCTTTATAGAAAGGGTATATTAATTTATACTTCTACTAGGTGTATAATGAATTTATATTGTGACACTCTCACTATTAATGAGTATTACCCATTTAAAAATATTCATTTTCTTTTTACTTTATAGCATATATCCAGTGATCAGCACAGATACTTGACCACACAGAGTAGACAATGGATGGCCACCACTAGTTTGATGGATCGTTTCTTGCAGGATGTACTGAGGCACCACCCATATCATTATCAAGAAAGCAGGTAAAATAACTGAGTGGAATAATATTCGCACAAAGTTAGTTATATGTTACAGTAAATGTTTGTGTTAATTGTTCTAATACTTCCTAAAGTGAACCTTTGAATCAAGGAATATAACGTGAAATTTTATCTAGTAACTTACCTTTGCAATTATTTAAAAATTTTTCCTAGCTTAGGTAAGAAATTTCACTCTAAAAGTTATGGACTACACTATGCTTTTTCTAAAGAAAAGTCTTAGGCCGATAAATAATTATATATCATTAAGGTGTCTTGTAAGGATGTCACAGGATTAAACAGGGTAAAAAGGTGGGAGCAAACAACTTTTACAAGATTAGTAACCAGAAAGTTGGTGACAGTAGCCAAGTAAGGGTGGTTAAGGTAAAAACTAAGTTAATTCCACATTAATGGAACTATTTGCTATTTTGTCAAATAGAATTGGCTCTTTTTATAATTTGTCAGTATCTTGATAGCTTACTCTTGTATTAATTTATTTTGGTTTTAATAAAAAATAAATATTTTGATAACATTTTAAAAAGTTAATGTCCTATGTTAAAGAAGAACTTTGGTAGAAAATCAGATTATGTACTGCGGTGAGTTTGCAGCTACAGCTATACAAGATAAGACAAAACAGATCATTAGCACATCTGTGCAGAATTAGTTGAGTTCAGCACTAGCAGCAGAAAAAAGGATAAACGTCTTGAACGCTTTGCAAGTCACCAACCTAGAACTTAGTAAATGGCGAAAAAGTTTTAATGGGGAAAAGTCAGGAAAAAAATATGTGGTTTTCGTAGAGAATGAACTTGAGGACACGGGGAGGGGGCGTCTTGAACGCTTTGCAAGTCACCAACCTAGAACTTAGTAAATGGCGAAAAAGTTTTAATGGGGAAAAGTCAGGAAAAAAATATGTGGTTTTCGTAGAGAATGAACTTGAGGACATGGGGAGGGGGAAGGGGAAGCTGGGACGAAGTGAGAGAGTAGCATGGACATATATACACTACCACATGTAAAATAGATAGCTAGTGGGAAGCAGCCGCATAGCACAGGGAGATCAGCTCGGTGCTTTGTGACCACCTAGAGGGGTGGGATAGGGAGGGTGGGAGGGAGACGCAAGAGGGAGGGGATATGGGGATATATGTATACATATAGCTGATTCACTTCATTATACAGCAGAAACTAACACAACACTGTAAAGCAATTATACTCCAATAAAGATGTTAAAAAAAATTATGTGGTTTCTTAGCTGGTGGAAAGATGGAATTAGCCTATCTTGGGGTCAGTATAAATCACCAGTTTATAGTGTATATAAACAATGCTTCAACAAACATATTTGTACATGCAACTTTTTCTGTGGAGTAGATTCCTAGAATTTGAACTTTGGGGCTAAAGTTTGTGGACATTAAAAATATTTTTATTTTTTAACTTTTCATTTTGGAATAATTTCAGGCTTACAAAAATTTAGCTGCAAAACTGGTACAAGGAATTCTTGTGTAACTTTTACCTAGCTTCCCCAAATGTTAAATCTAAAATAACCACAGTACAGTGATCAAATCCATGAAATTACATTGATACCATACTATTTACAGACCTGATTCAGATTTTGTCAGTAGTGTTACTAATGTCCTTTTTTTGGACCAAGATTCTGTCCAGGACCACACAGTGCATTGAGTTGTCACATTTCCTTACTTTCCCTTAATCTCAAGTAGTTCCTCAGTCTGTCTTTGATTTCAAGACCTTGACACTTTTTAAAAGAGTACTGGTCAGTTATTTTGTAGGGTATTCCTAAATTTGGGTATGCCTGATGTCTTTTCATTTTGTTGATGGTCTCCTTTACTGTGCAAAAGCTTTTAAGTTTAATTAGGTCCCATTTGTTAATTTTTGCTTTTGCTTCTATTGCTCTAGGAGATAGATCCAAAAAAATATTGCTGCTGTTTATGTCAAAGAGTATTCTGCCTATGTTTTCCTCTAGGGGTTTTATATTATCTGGTCTTACATTTAGGTTTTTAATCCATTTTGAGTTTATATTTGTATATGGTGTTAGAGAATGTTCTAAGTTCATTCTTTTACATATAGCTGTTCAGTTTTCCCAGCACCACTTATTGAAGATACTATCTTTTCTCCATTGTATATTCTTTCCTCCTTTGTCATAGATTAATTGACCATTAATGCATGGGTTTATTTCTTTTTATTTATTTATTTATTTGGCTGTGACGGGTTGTAGTTGCAGCACGCAGGATCTTTCGTTGCAGTGTGTGGGCTTCTCTCTTGTTGTGGCACATGGGCTCCAGAGCACACGGGCTCAGTAGTTGTGGTGTGCAGGCTTAGTTGCCCCGTGGCATGTGGGATCTTAGTTCCCCAACCAGGGATCAAACCCACGTCCCTTTCATTGGAAGGCCAGTTCTTAAGCACTGGACCACCAGGGAAGTCTGCGTGGGTTTATTTCTGAGCCCTCTGTCCTGTTCCATTGATCTATGTGTCTGTTTTTGTGCCAGTACCATCATGCTTTGATTACTGTAGCTTGGCAGTATAGTCTGAAGTCAGGGAGTGTGATTCCTCTAGCTCTGTTCTTCTTTCTCAAGATTGTTTTGGCTATTCAGTGTCTTTTGTGTTTCCATACAACTTTTAAAATTATTTGTTCTGGTTCTGTGAAGAATGCCATTGGTATTTAGCTAGGGATTGCAGTTAATCTGTAGATTGTCTTGGGTAGTATGGTCATTTTAACAATATTGATTCTTCCAGGAACACAGTGTATCTTTCCATCTGTTTGTGCCATCTTCAGTTTCTTTCATCAGTGTCTTATAGTTTTCTGAGTACAGGTCTTTTGCCTCCTTAGGTAGGTGTATTCCTCGGTGTTTCATTCTTTTTGATGTGATAGTAAATGGGATTGTTTCCTTAATTTATCTTTCTGGTAGTTCATTGTTAGTGTATAGAAATGCAACAGATTTCTGTATATTAAGTTTCTATCCTGCAACTTTATCAAATTCTTTGATGAGCTCTCGTAGTTTTCTTTGGTGGCATTTTTAGTATTTTCTATGTATAGTATGTCATCTGCAAACAGTGACAGTTTTACTTCTTCCTTTCCATTTTGGATTTCTTTTATTTCTTTTTATTCTCTTGTTGCTGTGGCCAAGACTTCTAAAACTATGTTGAATAAAAATGGTGAGAGTGGGCATCCTCGTCTTGTTCCTGATCTTGGAGGAAATGCTTTCAACTTTTCCCTGTTAAGCATGTTGTTAGCTTTGGTTTGTCACATATAGCCTTTATTAAGTTGAGGTATGTTCCCTTTATGCCCACTTCCTGGAGAGATTTTATCATAAATGGATGTTGAATTTTGTCAAAAGCTTTTTCTGCATCTATTGAGATGATCATATGGTTTTTATTCTTCAATTTGTTAATATGGTGTATCACATTGATTGATTTGAGTATATTGAAGAATCCTTGCATCCCTGGGATAAATCCCACTTGTTCATGGTGTATGATCATTTTAATGTGTTGCTCGATTCTGTTTGCTGGTATTTTGTTGAGGATTTTTGCATCTATATTCATCAGTGATATTGGTCTGTAATTTTCTTTTTTTGTAGTATCTTTGTCTGGTTTTGGTATCAGGGTGATGGTGGCCTCATAGATTGATTCAGAAGTTTTCCATCCTAACCTTACACCTAAAGGAACTAGAGAAAGAAGAACAAACAAAACCCAAAGTTAGTAGAAGGAAAGAAATGATACAGATTAGAGCAGAAATAAATGAAATAGGGACTTCCCTGGTGGCACAGTGGTTAAGAATCCGCCTGCCAGTGCAGGGGACAGGGGTTTGATTCCTGGTCTGGGAAGATCCCATGTGCCATAGAGCAACTAAGCCCGTTTGCCACAACTACTAAGCCTGAGCTCTAGAGCCCACGAGCCACAACTACAGAGCCCACACACCACAACTATTGAAGCCCCATGCCATAGAGCCTGCGTGCTGCATCTACTGAGCCCATGCACTGCAATTACTGAAGCCTGCATGCTCTAGGGCCCGTGTGCCACAACTACTGAGCCTGTGTGCTGCAACTACTGAAGCCCGCGTGCCTAGAGCCTGTGCTCTGCAACAAGAGAAGCCACCACAATGAGAAGCCTGCGCACTGCAACGAAGAGTAACCCCCACTTGCTGCAACTAGAGAAAGCCCATGCGCAGCAACAAAGACCCAACACAGCCAAAAAAAAAAAAAAAAATTAAGAAAATGATATAATAAAAAAAATGAAATAGAAAAATAAGAAAAGATGAATGAAACTAAAAGCTGGTTCTTTGAAAAGATAAACGAAATTGATAAGCCTTTAGCCAGCCTCATGAAGAAAAAAAGGGAAAGGGCCCAAATCAATAAAATCAGAAATGAAAAAGGAGAGGTTACAACAAACACCACAGAAATACAAAGGATCATAAGAGACTACTGTGAACAGCTAGATGCCAATAAAATGGACAACCTAGAAGAAATGGTCAAATTCTAGAAATGTATCAATACAATCTCCCAAGACTAAACCAGGAAGAAATAGAAAATATGAACAGACAATTACCAGTAATGAAATTGAATCAGTAATTTATTTATTTATTTATTTATTTTTTGCGGTACGCGGGCCTCTCACTGTTGTGGCCTCTCCCGTTGCGGAGCACAGGCTCCGGATGTGCAGGCCCCGCGGCCATGGCTCACGGGCCCAGCCGCTCCGCGGCATGTGGGATCTTCCCGCACTGGGGCACAAACCCGAGTCCCCTGCATCGGCAGGCGGACTCTCAACCACTGCACCACTAGGGAAGCCCAATTCTCGATAGACATTTCCTGGAAGGCTATACCAATTTATATATAATTTATTGCATAAATTTTATATATATGTATATACACCGGTAGTATATGACAGTGCTCATTTCCTGTCACTCTTGCCAACATTGCGATTATCAACCTCTTTCTTTCTCCCTAAAATAATAGGCCAAAAAGTGTCTCTTAATTAACCTTTATTTATTTATGAGTAAAGTAGAATTTCTCTTGCTATATAGTTATTAGAAATATATTTATCTTATGGATTGTTTTTTCATATACTTTGCTTATTTTTCCATTAAATTGTTTGTATATTTTGGGTTTATATTTATGAATAATAGTTCTTTGTATTTTAAATGTTATTTGTATTTTAAATATCAGAATCTGTCATGTGTTTATCACCTATATGTTATTTTTTACCATATAAAAAGAAACATTTTGACACAATCTAAGGAGAATTTTTCTTTATGGCTGCTTTCATGTCTTTTTCTTAATTCCATTTTTCTCTTCTTTTAAATATTTTTAATCTTCTTGGAATTTATTTTTATAAGTGGTATGTAGCAGTACTTATTTTTTAAATATACTGATTATCTCCACTGATATAAAACATCACCTGTAACATAAAATTCCTGTATTTGTGTGTGTGTATCTACATGTACTTCTATATCTATATCTTGGATTTTGAATACCATTTTCTTTCATTGAATGTTTTTAATCCCATGCCAATGCCACATTACTTAATTATGTTTATAAGCTTTCTGAATTATACAGTTCATCTTCAAAAAATTTCATCTCTCTTCCCCCCCTTGTCTAGACATTGTTGGTTTTTCTATTATTTTAGACTTCTTGAAAATCAGCTCTTGCTTTATTTTTGTTTCCTATTTATTGGTCTTTCTTTTTCTTAATTTATATCTTCAAGTTTCCTGAGGTAGGGGAATTTGGTTATTTTTCTGTCTTTTTGAATTAAGTGCTCATTTAGTTAATTTCTGTTTACTAATTCTTATTTTAATGGGAAATTTAAAAGTGTGAAGTTTTCATTTTGATCACATCTCATAGATTTAATATATAGTTATTTATTTTGTTTGTAGATAGTTTAAAAAGTTTTCCTTTTTAGCCTAAGAGTTATATAAAAGAGTGGTTTGGGCTTCCCTGGTGGCGCAGTGGTTGAGAGTCCGCCTGCCG